TGTGATTAGTGAATTGAATGGCTTTTGACTTATTTCATGACAACCTGAGTGTGACTAAGACAGCTTATTATGATGACTGAGATGTGCAGTAGAACTGTGTAGGGGTTCAGTTTTTCAACTATTTACTTACCAACTGTGACTTGGATTGACCACTTGCTTTTGACAGTCATATGTGCATCTAGTTCAGGGAATCAGAACGAGAGATAGAGCATATAGGTAGCCATGTGAGACTTGAGCCTGCTCATTTCTTTCTTGTGCGATAGTTCCCTCTTCCATGATCTGCAGCATTCACGTTGTCATTAGCTAAGATGATGGAGGCATAGGATTAGCCCACGACCAAATTGACTGTCCTGGTGTGTCATACCCCTTAGTCAGCCCCTTTGAGCCGTGTGTTACCCTTTCTTTCGGTCAATATGAAAAAATCACCCTTTCGCATATCTTAGAAGGTTCCATAGAGTGGTTTTTACATGTTCTCTGCTGTTCTGCTAAATATAATGTGAGGATTGGAGGTAGTTCTTAACAAGTTGGGCAGGTGTTTGAAAAATGTGCAGAGGTGGTGGTTCTCTTAAGAAATGAAAAAAATGAATGAAAGAAAAAACAAAGACAAAAAATGAAAGCAAAAGAGAGTCACCACCAAAAATCTTAATAGTGCCCATTAAGGAGTGTTTCTTAGCAGTCTGGCTTAGAAATACTAGCATTTATGTGACCTCCTTCGCTCTTGTGCTCTGAAGAATTTGAGTAATGCAGAATAGCAGAAAGAAAGTTATTGGTTTGATTGACTGTGAGTTTGTTGGGTTTTGAAATGTGGAACCTTGTGCTATGAATACTTCCACCACCTAAAAGGCTTTTTCCCCATGTCCAAGACCCTAGCCAGTCATCTGAACCTGTGTCTAAGACCTCCGGATTAGTTAGTGGTGAACTCCAATTGTGAACTCTAACATTTAGAGGCCGTATTCATGGTGAAGAGACGTTAGGGATTGAGAGATTGAGCATGCGCATTTTTCACATCAAATTGTCCTGACCCCACTGGTCGAGAGTGAGCGATTCATTTTCTCATATTCTCTATACTCTTTATCCCGGTGAGAACCTAGATTGATCGGTCTTAATTCTGATATCTTGAGCTTTGTGCATGAAGTGACTGTTTTGAATAAGTGGTATAAGTGGTTGAGTCAAGTCTATGTTGGTTGGTGAACAGAAGGGAACTCTTCCTTTGCTCGACTTTACTGCATTCGAATGTCATCTGTGGTGGTTGTCTAGGTTGTCATTGAGGTTGTCCATGTGTTAATGATCGAAAGCCAGTATGATCCACGTGTTTTGTGCCGATATGATATGCCCTAAAGCATGCTTGATTGAAATGTTTTGAGCTTACCTTGTGTCTGACTTGGTTTGCTTGGGGACAAGCAAACGGTTAAGTGTGGGGGAATTTGATAACGATGTAATTGCACATATTTGCACCCCTAGTTCTTATCCATTTGAGGGGCATAGTCGTGTATTTTTGGCCTATTTTACGCCGGGTTGTGCTACTTTGTCATATTTCAGGTCCCAGACGTCGAAGGAAAGGCTAAGCACGAGTTTCGGGGCATTCGGAAGTCATTTGGTCGAGCTGGAGCCAAAACACGGGCACGCCTAAATCAAAGCACGGCCGTGTTCCTGGACCGTGTTTTTACTGCCGAGGCTTAATCCAAGACTGTCAAACACTAGCTCAAAACACGGGCGGGACTAACCAAAAGCACGGCCGTGTCCACCAAAAGCACGCCTGTGTTTTCTCCCAAAGGCTGGCCGTGTATTTACCACGTGGCAAGGGCACGGGCGGGCTGGAGCAAAAGACGGCCGTGCACTTTACCGTGTTTTGCCCAGTGATGCCCTTTTAGGCAGATTTAAGCCAAAAGAGAAGGCGAGTTTTAGAGAGACAGAGCGATTCCTAGTGAGAGAAAGCGACGAACAAGAGTTCCTAAGTGCCCTAGCTTCATCTTCATCACCATTGGAGCTTGGCTTGAGCTTGGAGGAGTGCCGATCAACGTCCAGAAGCAGAAATCCATCCTTCACAGTATGATTTCCGCGTCTGAATATGCTTTTGCTTCTTTCTCCATGGAGTAGTTCTCCCATTCATCTGGGTATGGGAAACCCTAGATTTGTATGTTAGGTTTGATTGTATGAACCCAAGTACTGATTCTATGATTTGATTATATTCAATTGAGGTTTGAATGATTGAATGGCATGAATCCTGATCAAATTCCTGTTGTTTCTGCTTTAACCTAGAATGAGAATATCTTCCTAGGTTGAAAGAGCATCCTTGATTGAAGGTAGGGAGTTGGTGACTTTGGTTGAGGAGCCAACTCACTATTTTGTACCGAATTCACTTCGGTAGTGGAGGTTTTGTTCGTTAGGGCCTCAATCTGTTTACTCCGGTGGAGGTTAGTCGCCCGCTGGAGACTCAGATTGAGAGGGTCTGAAGACCTTTAGTCGAGACTTCAGGCTGTTTAAGGACCTTCCGCAGTATAACTATCATAGAAACTGAACTTGGTAATTGCAATCCGGCTTAACTGCAGTCTAGGGGGAACCATATCCGGGTGACCTCTCTTAACCTGAAAACAACCGTTTAGTTGCTTTGCTTGTTTGTTAGTTTAGACTTGCACTAAAGTTTCATTGCTAGATAACAAGAATTCACCGAGTAGTCATCGAATCTAGGACCCGGGTTGACATTAAAACCCAAACCCGCTATACTACACTTTAGGAAGTGGTTACACTTGGCCAATTCCTAGAGTGACAGTAGGAGTAAGTCAAAAATATACTTACAAACATTACAAAATCGTCCGACAAACAAAACAGACATTGTCGCCGGAAAATCCACTCTGCCTCTGCCTAAAAATTCGCCGGTACCTCCCTCCCTTGTACAGGAGCTTGGTGGGAAAACTCCATACATTCCCTCTCCCTAAAAAATGGACCGCCTGGAGGAAGGCGCAAAAGGAAAATTGCACCTGGTAGGCGGTTCCTTGGCCGGTGGGAAGATGTCGCCGGAGAAATCCAAGCGCCGGCGGAGGGGATGAAACATGCGGAAAAACCATGGATTACGAAACCGTACCGGACATCAAACCGGAATCGTTTTTGGTATGGTAAATCGTGGTACAACCATGGTTCAACCGTTTCCTACCGGAAAATACCGTTTTTGGAATAAAAAAAATATTTTTTTGTTAAAAAACCGTACCGACAAAATTAGGGTACCATACCGGGAAAATACCGGAATAAAACCGGATTATACCGCCTAAGAAACTGTAAAAGAGTAAATAAGCTTAGGTAACATTCAACAAAGTGCGAGATTTCAATACCTAATAAACTTCATAATCATCCAAATACATTTTTAGAAACTAGTACAAAAACCACAAGCTTAATGTTCACAAATCACAAGCTTAATGTTCCACAAATCACAAGTTATTTAGCCAATTTATTTAGCCAATAATTGAACTGGAGCAAGTGGAATATAATTCTCTATTTGAATTTAGGTTGGAATATTGGATTGAATCTAATCCTTTAGAGTTGCTATGTAGCATAGCAGCCAGCTAGCAGAAAGAAAGATGGAATTTGTATCGACAATTTTTTCCTAGCCTTGCTCTTCGATTTTCTTTGGATGGAATTATTAGTGACCTGGAGCAGGGGGAAGGAGGTCACCTGGAGCAGGGGGAAGGAGGTCACCTGGAGCAGCCGAACCGTCCTTCTCCTCCGGCGCGGCGCGGCTGTGAACGAGTTGCTGGGGAGGACGAGTCGCCGAGGTCACCTGGAGCAGCCGAATCGTCTTTCTCCTCCGGCGCGGCGCGGCTGTGAAGTGTGAACGAGTTGCTGGGGAGGACGAGTCGCCGAGGTCACCTGGAGCAGCCGAACCGTCTTTCTCCTCCGCCGCGGCGCGGCTGTGAACGAGTTGCTGGGGAGGACGAGTCGCCGGTGGTGTTTGGATGCTGGGGACGCCGCTGTCGCCACTCGCCGGTGGTGAGAAAATGCAAAAATGGAAAGGAGTTTGGATGGAAAGGCAGAGCGGCGCGGGCGAGACGAGAGGAGAGTGAGGAGAGAAGCGCTAGCCAGCAGCAGCCGAAGGTAGGGTTTCGACTTTTGTCTCTGCTTCTCTTTTTTTTTTTTTTTTTACTTGGTCAAAACGGCTCCGTTTCATTTAAATTAAAGGGACCGCCGGTTTTAATAAAACCGGCCGAAATTTCGGCCGGTTGCGGTCCAACCGTAAAAACCGCCCGGCAGCCTCTTGAATGGTACAAAGGCCATGTTGTGCCGGTCCAGGTCCGGTTTCCGGTTTTTCCGGTCCGACCGGCCGGTCCGGTACGGTATCCTGGTCCTTGGGAAAAACAAAGGAATTTTTGAATATTAATAATTAAAAATAAAATAATCATGCAATTACTATATTACGCTTCATCAAATTGAATTAATTAGAGCTATTAAATTTTAATGAGCTTGAAAGGAACGACTGAGATCGACTTAGACAAGTGACTAACAGACCATCCTTAGTCACCTGATCTTAGCCCCTTAGCTAACGGCGACCACCAAAAAAATACAATTGGTAAAATATGGTACGGAAAAGTTACGTATAAAATACGTACAGGTATTATACTTCGTCTCCAAGTTATAATTACGTTTAATAGTACGTTAATATTCATAGATATATAAAATTAATTATTTTAAAAATAAATAAATATATAAATAATATTAAAGCTAACAATTTAATTTATAAAATACGGATAATAAGCGTGTTATACGGGTTTTATACGTGTTTAGTACGGGAGACATCAAATGAATGGGAAAAAATAAAATGGGTTGACAATAATATGAATGCGAAATTTTTAAATGAATAAAGTACGTACGTATATATACATATATTAAACGGAGTATTTACTAACTAACCACGTCCATAGTGAAACGCTTTATCAAAATCATTTGGTATATTATTCTTATTTTTTTAGTAATCCAATTATTAATACTTATTGTTTTGGGAAAGAAAAAGACTATTCGGGTTATGAAAATGATTTGTAGGTTCTAGGGCTCTTTTTTATAAGTTAAGTTAAGCCGATCGACGAAAACATTCTTCCTTTCCTCCAAGTTTCACTTGTTTCAGCAAGAGAATGTTTAAAGCTGTCAGAGGATCAGGAAGTAGAGGAGAAGACAGAATCTCCCAACTTGCTGAAGAAATCATTCACTCCATCCTCAATCGCCTGAAATCTCCAGAGGAAGCTGCTAAGACCAGCGTGCTGTCGAGAAGATGGCTCCAACTGTGGCGACGCTACCCTTTCTTCGAGTTCCCGCTCTCAAAATCAAGCACCAAGTTCCGCAGCTTCGTCGCCTCCAGTTCCAGGAAACTGCTGGCTTCGTCGTCCTCGACTCCTGACTCGGATCACAGTTGGTGTGCAGCGATTCAGGATTTCAGAATCTCGGTTCAGGATGATGGTTTTGAGAAGGAGGATCTCGACCGGTTGCTCTCGTTAATCGCAGATCACGCCGATGGATTATTATTATTATCTCCAGTTAAGTTTGTGCTCCGTGTCGACCCATGGAGAACTCGTCCCTCCTATAGTTTGCTGCGCGTTCCGAATTGGAGCCGCACAAAATCCATCACTCTCAGTGGCTGCGATCTCGGCAATCACGATAATTGCAGTAACGGTTTGGCTTCTCTGGGCAACCTTGAGAGCCTCCGCCTGGAAGTTGTCCATTTCAGCGAACGACTTCTCCATGGTTTTCTGGATAATGCTCCTCGCCTCGTGAAGTTAAAATTGTGGGGAGTTTATTGGATTGACAGGCTGGAGGTGGTCTCTTCTCCTCGGCTCCGATCATTGGGATTGAGTTACATCTATAGAAGCAAAAACCGCTCCGAGAGAATGCGCAGGCTAAGGATTTCGTCTCCAGAGCTCAAGATGTTGTCGATGGCGTGTGGGACGTTGGAGGAGCTTGAGATTGATGCTCCTGATCTGGTTAGTCTCTCTTGGGCCGTTAATTCTTGTGGCCCCGTCACCAAGGTTAATATCGTCAATTTGGCATCTAGTTGCCGGTCCACAATTCGTGTGGTTTCGCCGTCGCTGAGTGAATTTTCACCACAGTGGTTGAGGATGTCCCTCTCCACCGCATTCAGTCAATTCCACCGTCTGGACTTGGTTCTCGGTTTCTCTATATACTTAGCACGACGACAATAGGTAACGTACTATTAACTCCATCTTCAATCCCAAAAACTACATATCTGTCTCCCTTTATCCATAAACCATACAATAATAAGTTTTCCCATTTCTTCTCTTTGATAAAAAAAAACTCTAGGAGTGGTTTGATTTAAGCCAAGCAGAATATGGTTCCGCACCACGAGCGATTGATCAAGTGGAATTTGAGGCAAAGTGGTCGTACATTCCTAACAATGATGTAGCTGCGCGGTTTTTGGAGATTTTCTTTTCAATATGTCATCCTGAATTCATGTCGATCAATGTTTGTCACTACGGTCATCGGGTGATCGTTCAGGTATGTGCACCACTATTTTTATTATTACATTGTATGTGAATGTTGCCCAGGATTCTTTCCATGTTACACCACTATATATATATTACTAAACGGTCATCATTATTTTCATTTGATACAGTACATATGTCATGAGTATATGATGACTGGATCTTTTGATGGCGTGACTATTTCCGCATCTTGGAAGCATCATTTGAAAGATATGAAGATCAAAGATGAAATTACTGGTGATATGATCGAGATTTCTAAAGACGTGATTTCATCCCTTGCCAATCGACAGAGTGTTTGTTGTATGTTCACGTGGTGTTAGCTTAAGTTAGAAAACTTATATGTTATAATTTAAATCATTAATTAGGCGGTTGTTTTCTTATCTTAATTAAACATCTACAATGAAGATAGATGGTTATTACTCACTGGTAAACACTAAAAATTAAGTTTTGTCACCCAGATTGTTGGTTTATTTCTCTAATTAGGACCACACTTATCTTTCTAAAAGACTCATAAGATCAGAGAACTTATGGGTTGGAGAGTCCTCCAACACTTTTTACTTTTGGCTAGAGATGTAAATTTTCTTCATGTTTTGGTTTCACTTTTAAGTAAGGATCAATTTGTCTTCATTGCGGTGTATGCCTAGAATGATGAAGGAGAGAGGGTTGTAGATTTTATGATATGTGGAGAGCAAGTTCAAAATATGACAATATTAACAGGAGTTCTTAGAAGCAAAAACATTATGAAACTATACTAGGACGAGTTTGTAGGAAGCTAAATCACTTGAAGCAAACACTCAAGCAGCTTAACAAGGATGAATTTTCTAATATAACTGAAAGAGTAAAAGAGGGCGAGGCTCAGTTCATGTCAACAGAGTTAGAAGTTTTAGATCTTCCTAATAACAACAATGCTTATTATTTAGTTGAATGGACTTATCTCATCAAAGTCATGGATGAAATTGGATTCAACTTTGTTTGAACTCTGCCTATTTTATTGTCAGCTTGTATGGATCTTTATTTGGCTTTTTCTTAGCAAAGAAGAGGGAGAGACAAGGATATGAGCATCCCTATCATCCTTAGTGCAAATTGAAAGGTCTGACGCATTTATGCTTTGCGGACGATCTCATGATTTTCACGGAAGGGTCTACATCACTACAAAAAAGACTGCAATTAATGGCCAGAGGATTCTGTGAGTAAAGGTCAAATTTCGTCGCAATTGCTCTTTTGCGATCCCATGTAGCCGTTGCGGTCCGTTCCAAATAAGAGCGTCACAACTAGTTTTTGCGTGACAATCCGTCAGAAAAGATTATTTGTGACGGTAGGAGGCCGTTCCTAAAGTTAATGGATCGTTAGTAAAGATTTTTCCACATTGACGAAACTGATCATGGCACATTTCTGACAATATTTTTCTATATTCATGACAGAACTGGGTCGTCGGTAATACATTTTAACCAATAATTATGGTTTTGGTAATTTTTCACGAGTAATTATATGTAGAATTTATGAAACCAAATAAAACATATAAAACCATTTAACTTTTATTCATCAACTATGAAATTCATAGCTCACATTTTTTTCCTGTGCAGAGCATCACTTTCACTATATGGTCAATTATATATGCGCCCTATATAACTTGTATTAAAGGTATATACATTTATCTATAAAATAGTAGATACATTCTCAATAATAGTAATAAAAGTGAAAAATCACATATTGCTGCTGGGGTGTTAAGAATCTGCTGCAAAAGTTATATAAGAATTCAGGTTTGAAATGCAAACCCAACAAGTGTGATGTATTTTTTGGAGGTCAGGCTATTCAGTTTAAGAATAATACTATGCAAGTTACTAGTATTAAGGAAGGAAACCTCACGGTTAGGTATTTAGGCCTCCCCTAATATCAAGCAGATTTTCTAGGCGAGAGTTCTTTGTGCTTGTTGACCAACTTACCGCTAGGATTCAATTTTAGCGTGCAAATCTGTTATGGTATGCAGATAAGAGTTTAGTTGATTTCATCGGAACTCTATTCTCTTATTCAGTACTGGTCAAACATCTTTGTTTTGCCTAAGGAAGTTCTGAATCAAATTCATAAGATGTGCTCGAATTTCTTATGGTTTGGGGATGGTTCTGGTAACGCAAAAGTGTCTCGGGAAATTGTTTATTTTCCTAAAAAGGAAGGAGGTTTAGGTTTAAAGGACATTGGAACATGGAACATTGCTTGCATTGCCAGATTGCTATGTTTTTTTTGGAGAAATCACTACTGGAATTTCATTGAAATCAATGATCAGTTGCCTCAACGGCTACAATATCAGCTACTGTTAAAGGCAAACAATTGTTCACAAAAAGAGATTCATCAGGGATAGTAGAAAGATGAGCTAGTAGGTGAGCAGCATTGTTAGCTTCTCTATACGCAAAAGACCATTCACGAACATCCAACTCTTCTGACTCCTTCAGTATGTCCGAGCATATATTCCCCAGCTCAGTTCTGATGATCCTGCCTTGTTTCAGCAGCTGGACAATTTTTCTGCAGTCCGACTCCACAACAACGGGACCAAGTCCCCTCTCCTTCACTAATCTGATTCCATAAAGAACAGCCATACCTTCTGCAACATCCGGAGGCCACCTGACTTTGATTCTTTTATTGGCAGCGAAGATTGCATTACCCTCCCAGTCTCTAAGTATGCATCCCAGCCTCACTTCTCCTCTAGTACTTACCCCTGCATCTGTGTTTAACTTAAGAACTCCTATAGAGGGTTTCTTCCACCTGTTATCATTTCTTTGTCTCAGCCTAACTGAAGCATGATCCTTCCCTTGAACTTCCAGAAAGCAGTGGATGAACTCCTCTTCTCGAGGGAAGACCTGCCATTCTTCCAAGAACTTCTTATTAAACAAGACATTATTTCTGTCCTTCTAGAAGAACCACAGTAAAGAGCTCAGTTGTGCCACCTCCTTTTCTGTGTAGTTATTAACTACATGGGAGAGCCATTGTTTACAGGTGAGGCCTTCAGCCTTATAGAAGATCTCCGCCAGCGGGGTTTTACTCCAAATACGGCAATTCCAGCTACAGTCAACCAAACAGTGCTTCAGAGTTTCCTTAAGGCCACAGTTTGGGCACTCCTCCCCCAGGTTCTTGACTTTCTTACTGATTTTGACACCAACTGGTAGAATATTATGAGCTGCCTTCCATAAAAAGGTTTTGAGTTTCCCTGGCATGTTGATCCTCCACAGCTTTTTCCAATTGAAATCACCCCCATGCCCATCAATGTTGATCGCTTCCTCTTCTTCCATTCTTTTCTGCTCAAATAGGTATCCTGATTTTACAGTATAATTCCCATCTTCAGTCCCTATCCAGCACAAAGCATCCTTGTCTGCAATTGAAGCCAGTGGAATCGCCATAATTGCCTGCCTCTCATCCGGCGTGAAAATTAGTTCAAGCAGATCATGCCTCCAAGTTCTTGTTTCTTGATCAATAAGAGTCGACACTCTTGCCTCCCACTCCATGAACGGGCAGTAAGAAAAAACTTCAAAGTTTTCGAGATTAGGAACCCATTTATCCTTCCAGATTCTTACTTCCTCCCCAGAACCAATTTTCCATCTGCATCCTACTTTGAGCATGTCCTGAGCCCCCAGAAGACTCCTCCAAATGTAGCTAGGCCGCCATCCCAACTTAGCTTCCAGAATAGAAGTTCGAGGATGGTATTTTGCTTTGATCAATCTGGCCACAAGAGTGTCGGGTTTTGTCTGCCAATTCCAGAGCTGTTTTGCCAACATCGCCTTGTTGAAAATTCTTAGGTCTCTGAAACCCATTCCACCCTCTTCCTTTTGTTTACACAATTTCTTCCACTTTTTCCAATGGATTCTTCTTTCAGATCCTTTCTGCCCCCACCAATAGTTAGCTATCAAGCTATGCAGGTCATCAATAATTCCATCAGGTATTTTGAAAACCGACATGGCGTAAGTAGCCTGTGCTTGGGCGACACTTTTGATCAGTATTTCCTTTCCTACATCACTGAAGTACCTGCTCTTCCAATTTGTTATCTTATTCCTCACCCTTTCTTTCAGATTCTGAAAGACCATTTTCTTCGATCTACCCACCATTGTTGGAAGGCCGAGATACTTGGCCAGCTTGTCCACTTCTCTAATCCCCATTTCTGCACAAAGATCTCTTCTCTTCTCCTCCTTAATGTTGCTGCTGTAATAAATCTCAGACTTAGCAAAGTTCACCATTTGTCCAGATTCAGCTTCGTATAACTTCAGGATCTCTTTCAACTTCTTAGCTTCATCTATGCTCGCCCTTGCAAACAGAACACAATCATCAGCAAACAGCAGATGAGAAATAGTAGGGGCTCTATTACAAATTTTGATTCCATGAATTTCCTTGTTTTTTTCATACTTATTGACCAGAGCTGATAGTCCCTCAGGGCAAAGAAGGAAGAGGTACGGGGAGAGGGGATCTCCCTGTTGCAGTCCTCTTCCCGGCTTGAAGAATTTTGATTTATGTCCATTCACTAACACTGCATATGAAACAGAAGACACACAAGACATGATCAGCCTTATCCAGTTTTCATTGAAACCCATTCTTCTCATAATTCGTTCAAGAAATTCCCACTCAACTCGATCATAGGCTTTAGCCATATCGAGTTTTAAAGCCAAATAACCTCTTTCACCTTTAGTCTTCTTCTTCATGGCATAGAAGCATTCGAAGGCTGCAATCACATTGTCGATAATGGATCTCCCCGGTACAAACGCACTCTGAGCTTCACAAATGAGATCATCCAGAATCACTTTCAGACGATTAGCTATAGTTTTGGACAGAATCTTATATAACACAGTGCAAAGGCTAATCGGCCTGTAATCTTTAGGGGAAGCAGGATTCTTTACCTTAGGGATCAGGGCAATCAGCGTCTTATTGAGGCTTTCAGGGATGCATCCATTTCGAAGGAAACTTGTCGGTTCAGCTGTAATTTTCGGGGCCAGAACATTCCAATTCTTTTGGAAGAACAGTGGTGGGAAACCATCATCCCCGGGGGATTTTGTGGCACCCATTTGGAAGAGAGCAGTCTGGATTTCTTCGGCTGTAAAAGGCCTTAGAAGCTTTTGATTCATCTCGTTTGTTACTTTCCTATCCACCACTTCAACAACCTTCCAATTAACACTGCTTGTTCTGATTTCAAACAGATCCTTATAGTAGGTGGTAAGGCAATCAGTGACTTCCTCTTGCCCTCTGAATAGTCGCTGACTCACTTCTACTGTCACTCCAGGAATTGGCCAAGTGAAACCACTTCCTAAAGCGTAGTATAGCGGGTTTAGGTTTAAATGTCAACCCGGGTCCTAGATTTGATGGCTACTCAGTGAATTCTTGTTATCTAGCAATGAAACTTTAATGCAAGTCTAAACTAACAAACTAACAAAGCAAGTAAACTGTTGTATTCAGGTTAAGAGAGGTCACCCGGATATGGTTCCCCCTAGACTGCAGTTAAGCCGGATTGTTATTACCAAGTTCAGTTTCTATGATAGTTATAATGCGGAAGGTTCTTAAACACCCTGAAGTCTCGACTAAAGATCTTCAGACCCTCTCAATCTGAGTCTCTAGCGGGCGACTAACCTCCACCGGAGTAAACAAATTGAGGCCTTAACAAACAAAACCTCCACTACCGGAGTAAATCCGGTACAGAATAGTGAGTTGGCTCCTCGACTAAAGTCACCAACTCCCTACCTTCAATCAAGGATGCTCTATTAACCTAGGCAGATATTCTCATTCTAGGTTAAAGCAGAAACAACAGGAATTTGATCAGGATTCAAGTCATTCAATCATTCAAACCTCAATCGAATATAATCAAATCATAGAATCAGTACTTGGGTTCATACAATCAAAGCCTAACATACAAATCTAGGGTTCTCCATACCCAGATGAATGGGAGAACTACTCCATGGAGAAAGAAGCAAAAGCAGAATCAGACGTGGAATTCATACTGTGAAGGATGGATTCCTGCTCCTGGACTTTGATCGGCACTTCTCCAAGCTCAAACTGGCCTCCAATGGTGTTGAAGATCAAGCTAGAGCACTTGGAGACTCTTGTTCGTCGCTTTCTCTCTCTAGGAATTGCTCTATCTCTCTCAAAACTCCAATCCCCTTCTGTTTGGCTGAAAATCTGCTTAAAAGGGCTTCAGTGGCCAAAGCACGGTCGAGGGCATGGCCGTGCTTTGCCTCAGCCCGCCCGTGCTTTGGCTAGGGTTAATTACACGGCCAGTGCGTTGGGGGAAACACGGGCGTGTTTGATGATGGACACGGCCGTGCTTGTGGTGGCCACGGCCGTGCTTTGTCTAAGCCATGCCCGTGTTTTTAGCCAATGTTTGCCAAACTCGAATTTTCTCTCGGCAGTGAAAGCACGGCCACAGAACACGGCCGTGTTATGTTTTAGGTGTGCCCGTGTTTTGGCTCCAGCTCGACGAAATGACTTCCGAATGCCCCGAAACTCGTGCTTAGCCTTTCCTTTGACGCCTGGGACCTGAAATATGACAAAATAGCACAACCCGGCGTAAAATAGGCAAAAAATACACGACTATGACCCTCAAACGGATAAGAACTAGGGGCGCAAATATGTGCAATTACATCGTTATCAAATTCCCCCACACTTAACCGTTTGCTTGTCCCCAAGCAAACCAAGTTAGACACAAGGTAAGCTCAACAACAAGGCATGACATATCGGCACAAAACACGTGGATCATACTGGCTTTCGATCAGTAACACATGGACAACTTCAATTACAACCTAGACAACCACCACAGATGACATTCGAATGCAGTAAAATCGAACAAAGGAAGAGTCTCCCTTCTGTTCACCAACCAACATAGACTTGACTCAACCACTTGTTCAAAACAGTCACGTCATGCACAAAGTTCAAGATATCAGAATTAAGACCGAGCAATCTAGGTCCTCATCGGGATAAAGAGTATAGAGAATAAGAGAAAATGAATCGCTCACTCTCGACCAGTGGGGTCAGGACAATATGATGCGAAAAATGCGCATGCTTAATCTCTCAATCCCTAACATCTCTTTATCATGAATGCAACCTCTAAGTGCTAGAGTTCACATATGGGGTGTCATCACTAACTAATCCGGAGGTCTTAGACACAGGTTCAGATGACTGGCTAGGTTCTTGGACATGGGGAAAAGGCCTTTTAGGTGGTGGAAGTATTCATACAGCAAAAGGTTCCACATTTCCAAACCCAACAGACTCACAACCAATCAAACCAATAACTTTCTTTCTGCTATTCTGCATTACTCAAGTTCAGAGCACAAGAGCGAAGGAGGTTACATAAATGCTAGTATTTCTAAGCCAGACTGCTAAGAAACACTACTACATGGGCATTATTCAGATTTTTGGTGGTGGCTCTCTTTTGCTTTCATTTTTTTCTTTGTTTTTCTTTCATTATTTTTCATTTCATAAGAGAACCACCGCCTCTGCACATTTTCAAACACCTGCCCAACTTTTAAGCACTACCTCCAACCCTCACATTATATTTAGCAGAAACAGCAGAGAACATGTAAAAATCACTCTGTGGAACCTTCTAGAAGATGCAAAAGGGTGACTTTTCATTGAAGACCGAAAGAAAGGAAAACACACCGCTCAAAGGGGCTGACTAGGGGTATGACACCCCAGGACAGTCAATTTGGTCGTGGGCTAATCCTATGCCTCCATCATCTTAGCTAATGACAACGTGAATGCTGCACATCATGGAAGAGGAAACTATCGCACAAGAAAGAAACGAGCAGGCTCAAATCTCACATGGCTACCTATATGCTCTATCTCTCGTTCTGATTCCCTAAACTAGATGCATAAATGACTGTCAAAAGCAAGTGATCAAACCAAGTCACATTTGGTGAGCAGACAGTTGAAAAACTGAACCCCTACACAATTCTACTGCACATCTCAGTCATCACAATAAGTTGTCTAAGTCACACTCAAGTTGTCATGTATCAAGTCAAAAGCCATTCAATTCACTAATCACATCCACAGTGCCAATACGATCAATCATCAAGCAAACAGCCGTGCTTGGAGCCCTCAAATCTCGAGATTTGGACAGGGGACTAGGCTCCAAGCACACATATATACATTCCAATTCATACAAAGAACCCCCCCACACTTAAACGCGACAATGTCCTCAATGGAGCAGAGGGAAGGGGAACGATGTTACCATGAAACAGTGGTCAGGAACGTTGACTGGATGGCGGACCAGTCAAAAGAAGGAGGCACAGAGCTAGAGACAACAAAAACACACACACACTGGGTGATAGAAATCAGAGTACCAAGTCTACAATCCAAGATAAAAAAAAAAAACAAAACGAAACCACAAAACACGGAGTCTCAGTCTGGAAAACAAATAAAGCACAAAACCCGCTCTAGAAGGCATCACCACCATCGCCGGTGGGTGGAGGGTACTCATCCTCAAACCCTGGGGACTGCACGAACGGGTAGTGGACCGCGTTCGGGTCCAAGCCCAAGTAGGACATGATGTAGTGCGACCCCGACATGAGACGACGCCCTCGGTCCCGCTCGCGATCAAGGCGGGTGTGGATACGCTCCTGGCCGGCCAGGATGCGCTCATTCTGCTGCGTGATCGCCGCCAACTGGTCGGAGATGGGCACCACCACTGGAGGAGGGGACCCTGGAGAAGGAGACCGGGGAGCAGGAGAGGGGCTCGCGGGAGCCTGGGCACGACGGGGAACTCGGCGCCCACCAGCGGCGCTCGACTCGGCCTGGTCGCCCTCGGCAGGTATAGGTGGCTGAGGAAAGCCCGCGATCCAGCGCACACGCCCGTGGCGAGCAACCAAGTGCTGGTGGCGGAGAGTAGCCTCGCCGAGTGGGGTTGGTCCGCGGACCAATGTCATCCCTGTGTAGTCCACCCCGTAGTTGCGGGCCAAGGCGGTGATCACCGGGCCACAAACGAGGCTGCGAGTCGTGCTGATGGCTGCCTTGGTGAACGTCCGGGCAAGCACAGAGCCCAGCTGGATGGTGTCCTCGGAACGACCCATCGCATGCATCAACCAGAGAGTCCGGAGTGTGACCCGGTTGGACGAGCCCTTGCTGGGTGTGTAGGAAGTGCACATCAGGTGGTTGAGGATCCGCCATTCCGGACGGAGGAGAGCAGCCCGCGTCTGGCTGGCCACGTACTCTTCATCCACACTTTCCGGCAGGCAAATGCTCTAAAAGTACGCCTGGCAAGCGAAGTCGGTGGGATCGGAGAGGTCCAAGCGTAGGGGCGGCCCGCCTGCTACCCGGGAATTGAGAAGAAGTGCATTGGCGAACTCCCAGTAACTGAGGGAGTGCTCCACCCCGCCGAGGGTGAACTGAACTGCATCAGCATGGTCGGAGTTCCCCTTCGAGTTGTGGTGGAAGGTGGCGTAGAACTCCCAGACTAGCTCCTTGTAGGTCGGCTCGGCGAGGGTGAGAAGACGCCGCCAAGCAGGGGAGCGGACCACGACCTCCATCTGTGGCCTGGCATGAAGCTCCTCGAACACCTCCCAATCGAGGTGATGGTGCTCAGCGATGCTGCGGTTACGGAGGTTTAGCAGCTTATGGCGCTGGACGATGTTCATCTGGTCGAGATAAATCTCCATGATCCTGCAAAGCACAATGAAGGACAAAGTGTACACAAGCAAACGGGGTCTGTTAGGCCAAACCCACACCGGGAGCCCTCATATCGAAAGATATGGATAGTGGACTAGACTCCCGGCGAAACAAGCATACCCATCATACGAGATATATACAGCAAAATACACCGGGGACCCTCAAATCGAGCGATTCGGACAGTGGACTAGGCCCCCGGGGAAACAAGCATACCCAAACCCGTATGAAATAAGCATCAATCGATCCACCACACAAAAACCACACTAGCCCGCATACAATGCAACATGCAATCAGCCCAATCATCCCCCAAACCCAAAATATTCCCAAACCATTCATTCCACAATCAGAAGTTCTTCACCTAACTCTAGGTATCGATTCTCCATAAATATAGGAAAAGACAAGGAGAACACACCTGGAGACGCAAGAAGAGACCACGAGGGAGGTGAAGAAAGTGGAAAGAAGCACCCAAAGTCGCCGGAAAACACACCGGAGACTCGCCGGAAAACTCACCGCCGGCGACCCAACCTCGGCCAAACCAGCCCAACTCTTTGGGGAATGTGCTCCTCGACGCCAGGAGCGTGGGGCATTCGCGGTTTGTGATTTGGAGGTCGGGAGAGGAAGTTATGGCCGGAAAATCGACAGAGAATGTGAAGGGGCCGAGTTTCCGGCCAGGGGGGCTGGGAAAATTTGAAAAAAAACTGATCTGGTGGGTGGGGGCGGAAAAATCGATTTTATAGGGGGGGGGAGCGAAACACGGGCGGGGCAGAACACGGCCGTGTTCTGCCTGCTCCGCGCCCGTGTTTTCACTGCCGAGGGCGAAATGCTCCTTTAATAAAACACGGGCGGGCTCCTTTCAAAACACGGCCGTGTTTTCGAAGGGCCGTGCCCGTGCTTTTTATGCCGAGGCTAAAAGGCAAAACACGGGCGGGGCAGGGCAAAACACGGCCGTGTTTTGGCCCCCTGCTGCCCGTGTTTTTACTGCCGAGCCTAAAATGCATTTTTTCAGTTTTTTCAATCTCAAACCACCAAGACTCATGCGTGCCCCGGCTCTAAAATTTACCCAATCACACATTAAAAAGAACCGCCCGAGGCACGAAAAACTTTCCAGACTGACTCCAGACAGACTCAAAGACTCAAAAACCGACAAAAATGAAATAAATAAATAAAAACAAAGGGTAGAAATGCAAACCGTGGTGGGGTTGCCTCCCCACAAGCGCTTCTTTACCGTCTTTTAGCTAGACACCAATTGCGGAACTAAGGGTCCGCGAGCTCCACTTCCAACTCCGCATGTTCGACCTCGTCTCCTAGGTAGAGCTTGAGACGATGGCCATTCACTTTAAACGGCTCAGTTTGCGGGTTGGCAATTTCAATCGTGCCATACGGGAACACCTGTGTGACCGTGTACGGTCCAGACCACCGGGAACGGAGTTTTCCAGGAAAGAGCTTCAGGCGAGAGTTATAAAGGAGAACTCGATCACCAACCATGAACTCTTTCGGACCCCGCAACCGTGCATCGTGCAGGCGCTTAGTGCGCTCCTTGTACAGCTTGGTGTTCTCATAGGCGTGATAACGCCACTCTTCCAGCTCCAACATCTGCATTTTTCGCTCAACACCTGCAACACTGACATCCAAGTTTAGCAGCTTAAGGGCCCAGAAGGCCTTGTGCTCTAGCTCCACGGGCAAATGGCATGCCTTTCCATAGACAAGCCAATACGGTGAGGTACAAATGGGCGTCTTGTAGGCAGTGCGATATGCCCACAGAGCATCATCGAGCTTGGTGGACCAGTCCTTGCGGGATAAGTTCACCGTCTTCTCCAAGATCCGCTTGAGCTTGGCCTGGCCACTGGTTTGAGGATGGTAGGCCACAGACACCTTATGAGTTACACCATAGCGAGACAACAACTTATCGAACTGACCCTGGACATGGGTGCCTCGGTCGCTTATGATGGCTCTAGGTGTCCCGAACCGGGAGAATAGCTACTTCAGAAAACCACAAACACGTCTAGCATCATTAGTGGGCAAAGCTTGCGCCTCGGCCCACCTAGAGACGTAGTCAACAGCAACAAGGATATATGCATTACCAAAAGATGGAGGGAAGGGGCCCATGAAGTCGATACCCCAGACATCAAAAATCTCACAAGTTATAAACACATTCTGGGGCATCTCATCGGGCAGAGATGTTACCTGAACTCTGGCATCGGTCGCACCTGCGTGCGAAGACGTCTGCGTCCTTGAAGAGTGTGAGCCAGTAGAAGCCCGACTGGAGCACCTTCCTCGCCGTGCAGTTTCCACCGTGGTGACCCCCAGCAGGTCCTTCATGACAGTGAGATAGAATGCCCTCCATCTCACTCTCCATAACACATCGACGGATGATCCCGTCGGCTCCGATCCTGAAGAGATGAGGGTCATCCCAGAAGTAGTACTTCAGGTCGGAGAAAAACTTCCTCTTGGCGTGAGTTGTCATCCCCTTGGGCAGCTGCTGGCCCACAAGATAATTTGTAAAATCAGAATACCAGGGGGTGACACTCTCCACCAGGCACATCATCATCAGTCTCTCATCTGGGAAGGAGTCGTTGATCTCCTCCTCGAGGTTGTCCGCAGGGGGTGCGTCTAACCGGGAGTGGTGCTCGGCAGCAACATTCTCCGCTCCCTTCTTGTCCCGAATCTCAATGTCAAACTCCTGCAGCAGTAAGATCCATCGTATGAGCCTAGGCTTGGCATCAGCCTTGCTCATCAAGTATCGAATCGCAGAGTGATCTGTATACACGGTCACATGGGACAAGACCAGATAAGGACGAAATTTATCGAAGGCAAACACCACCGCGAGCAGCTCCTTCTCCGTGGTGGTGTAGTTCTCCTGGGCATCATTCAAGTTCTTCGAGGCGTAGTAGATAGGTCGGAAATGCTGATCTCGCCTCTGCCCCAACACAGCTCCAACAGAAAAGTCACTGGCATCGCACATAATCTCAAATGGCAGGGACCAGTCAGGAACAACCATGATAGGAGCTTGTGTGAGCTTCTCCTTCAAGGTCGTGAAAGCCGCTGTGCATGCATCAGTGAACTGGAAGGGGGCATCCTTCTCTAGAAGCTTCGTCAGGGGCAGAGCAATCTTCGAGAAATCTTTGATGAACCGCCTGTAGAACCCTGCATGACCAAGAAAACTCCGGATCCCCTTAACAGATGTAGGAGGAGGCAGCTTGCTGATAGTCTCGATCTTTGCTCTGTCCACCTCAATCCCCATCTTGGAGATCTTATGCCCAAGAACTATGCCTTCTCGAACCATGAAGTGACACTTCTCCCAACTCAGCGCCAGGTTCGTTTCTTCACACCGTTTAAGGACAAGATCCAGGTTATGGAGACAGTGAGAAAATGAGTCTCCATAAACCGAGAAATCGTCCATAAACACCTCCATAATCTCGCCGACCAGACGGTCAAAGATAGCGAGCATGCATCGCTGAAAAGTAGCCGGGGCATTGCATAGCCCGAATGGGATCCTCCGGTAGGCAAAGGTGCCGAAGGGGCAGGTGAAAGTGGTCTTCGCCTGGTCCTCCGGTGCAATAGGAATCTGGAAGTACCCGGACATCCCATCCAGGAAACAATAGAACTCGTGCCCCGCCAGTCTCTCCAGCATCTGATCAATGAATGGTAGCGGGAAGTGGTCCTTCCGAGTGGCGTCGTTGAGACGCCGGTAATCAATGCAGACACGGTACCCAGTCACCGTGCGTATCGGGATCAGCTCATTCTTCTCGTTAGGCACCACAGTCATCCCACCCTTTTTGGGTACCACCTGGGTGGGACTAACCCACTCGCTGTCGGAAATGGCGAAGATGATCCCCGCGTCCAGCAGCTTCACGATCTCTGCCCGAACCACAGCCTCTAGGTTCGGTGTCAGTCTTCTCTGCGGCTGTCTCACTGGTCGCATCTCATCCTCCATCAGTATCCGGTGGGAGCAGAAAGAAGGGCTGATCCCCCGGATGTCTGTGATCTTCCATGCGAGAGCTCACTCGTACCGCTTCAGCAAGGTCACCAGTCTGGTCTTCTGCTCGGGTGTGAGGGTCGAGCTGATGATGACTGGCAGCTTATTCCCCTCCCGGAGAAATGCATCCTCCAAATGAGGAGGGAGGGGCTTAAGCTCCAGCTCTGGTGGTTCCTCCAAGGAAGTAGCGATGCGGGTGGAGGATGAGATCGGTTTGAACAGCCTGTCGCCCTCCAAGAAGGGTCCATCCTCCAACTCGGCCAACTGCTCCGCCAGCTGCGGCTCCTGCGAAGCCTGCTCACCTAGCAAAATACAACGCTCCAGAACATCGTCAGTACCCGCACTCGTTATAGCGAGTGCGGTCTCAAAGTCAGCAAGCATATCACAGTAATCTATGTCATCATGCAAATGAGAGTGTTTCCCATTCTCAGACACAGAAAAGGTAGCTTGTTCATCACCAGCATGCAGAATCAATTTACCACTATGCACATCAATAAGCGCCTTGCCGGTGGCGAGAAACGGTATACCTAAAATCAAAGGTACATCCACATCCTCATTTATATCCAAAATAACAAAGTCAACAGGATATGTGAATGCACCCACATTAACAAGCAAGTCCTCAATAATACCCCTAGGATGCACGATAGAACGATAAGCTAACTGAATGCTCATCCTAGTAGTTCTAGGTTCACCTAGGCTTAGCTTCTTAACCAAATTATAAGGCATGACATTTATGCTAGCGCCTAGGTCCGCCAAGGACTTTCCTACATGCATGCTGCCAATAACAAGAGGGATAATGAAACTCCCTGGGTCTTTTCGCTTCTCGGGCAGCTTGTTCTGCAGGATAGCAGAACACTCCTCGCTCAGCATCACTATCGAAAGATCCCCAAGTTTCTTCTTGCTGGTGAGGAGGTCCTTCATGAACTTGGCATACTTGGGCATCTTTGACAGTGCCTCCACGAACGGCATGCTGATGTTGACCTACTTCAACATTGCCATGAACTTGGCAAACTCAGTCTCCAGCTTGTCTTTATCCAGGCGAGTGGGAAAAGGAAGCTGAGGTACATGCTCCTTAACCACTGGCTGTGGCTTGGGAGCAGGCGTTGTTGTGTCTTCCCCCACTTCTGCAGTATCAGCTGGAAGTGTTGAAGAAGGTAGTGGCTCATCTCGACTGGGCTGGGCAGGAGCGGCTGATGTGGTCTTGCCACTCCTGGTGGTGATGGCATCAAGCTGCTGGTGCTATTGAGGATCACAAGGATTCGAAACAGTGGTGGCATTCAGAGTCCCCGGTGCCCTGGTGGTGTTCTGGCGGGCCAAGATACCCACCTGGTTCTGCAGATCTTGCAAAATGGCACCCTGGTTCCGCTGACCTGCCTCCAGTGACGTGATAGCTGCCTGAGTGCTAGTCATGAATGAAGCTAGAATATTTTCCAGCTTCGTCATCTGAGTATCTGGAGCCGGAGCTGCTGCTGGCTTGGCGAACTGGCGCTGGGGCTGCTGGAATGGTTGCCCCTGCCTAGGCTGGTAGGGCTGCTACTGTGGGGCTGGCCCCTGTCGAGCCTGGAAGGGCTGCCTCTGCTGAAAGCCACCAGCTGGTGCTGGGAAACCAGGTGGCTTAGTGGTGTTGTTGCCCCAAGAGAAGTTGGGATGCTGGCGCCACCCCTCATTATATGTGTTGCTGTACGGGTCGAGGCGCCGAGCATTGGCGATGAAGTCCAACTGCTCTTGGGGAGTAGTAGACTCCCTCATAGCCTGGCAGTCTTCCACTAAGTGATTCGAGCTCTCACACCACTGACATTGAGAAACTAGAGGTGTAGCCAAACCTCTGTCCGGAATAAGACTGTTGGGCTGCTTCAATGTCTGCACTAGCTCAGCTACCTGCTGCTCGAGCCCGGATCTGGTCTCCATGGCGTGCACACCACGGTCTCGGGAATGTCTTCCTCTGCTGCTCTGTCCCCAAGAATGATCTCTGGCAGCCAAGGTATTGATCATCTGGTTCAGCTCGGGTGGAGTCTTAGTAAGAATATCCCCTCCTGGGCATAGAGACTCAATCACCCTCTGGCTATCTGGAGAGAGGGCACTGTAGAAGTTCCCCACTGTGAATGCATTACTGAAGCCATGATGGGGACACTGCCAGAAATAGCCCATGTACCGCTCCCAAGCATCACGAAGTGACTCATCTGGCTCTTGGCGGAAGTGAGTGATCTCCCGTTGGATCTCTGTAGTCTTCGATGCCGGATAGTACCTGTGCACGAACTTGTCAGCCAGATCGTCCCAAGAGGTGATGGACAATGGGGGCTGGGTCTCCAACCACCTCTTAGCATTCCCCGCCAGAGAATGGGGGAAAAGGTGAAGGCGGATTGCATCATCAGGGACACAATTCAGGTTGAAACCGTTCGTCAGCTGCAGAAAACGGGAAAGATGCACCCTGGCCTCCTCATCCTTCAAGCCATGGAACTGGATAGAGGATGTAATGAGCTGAATCCAGCATGGCTTGATCTCGAAGTTGTTTGCTGGAATAGGCGGGTAGAGGATGACCGGGTGGATGTCAGCAATCCGTGGAGTGTAGTAGTACTCCAAGGTGGGACCCGGCGACGGGTGATGATGATGAACCCCATGATCCTGGGGTATGGGGTTGTTCCCCAGGACCTGATTCACCGGGGGAGCCTGCTGAGGATTCCCCTAGTGCTGATTGTAATCTCCGTCCATCCTGTACTCTTCCTCAGAATCGCTGCTCAGGTGGCCGTCTATGCGCTCTTCCGTAGCCAGTCTAGCTCGCTGTTGTCTCCTGAGTTGGCGACAGGTGCGGTCAATCTCTGGATTCAACGGCAGTAAACCTCCCAACTGGCTACGGGTCATGCACTACCTGCACACACTCAAGCAAGCAAACTCGTTAAGGCACAAGTGGGACAAAGCAAACAAAGCAAAAAGAAAAGCTAAATTAACAGAAATCACTTTTCTTCAACAACCTAGCCGTCCCCGGCAACGGCGCCAAAAACTTGACTCACGTCTACTGTCACTCCAGGAATTGGCCAAGTGAAACCACTTCCTAAAGCGTAGTATAGCGGGTTTAGGTTTAAATGTCAACCCGGGTCCTAGATTTGATGACTACTCAGTGAATTCTTGTTATCTAGCAATGAAACTTTAATGCAAGTCTAAACTAACAAAGCAAGTAAACTGTTGTATTCAGGTTAAGAGAGGTCACCCGGATATGGTTCCCCCTAGACTGCAGTTAAGCCGGATTGTAATTACCAAGTTCAGTTTCTATGATAGTTCTACTGCGGAAGGTTCTTAAACAGCCTGAAGTCCCGACTAAAGGTCTTCAGACCCTCTCAATCTGAGTCTCTAGCGGGCGACTAACCTCCACCGGACTAAACAGATTGAGGCCTTAACAAACTAAACCTCCACTACCGGAGTAAATCCGGTACAGAATAGTGAGTTGGCTCCTCGACTAAAGTCACCAACTCCCTACCTTCAATCAAGGATGCTCTATTAACCTAGGCAGATATTCTCATTCTAGGTTAAAGCAGAAACAACAGGAATTTGATCAGGATTCAAGTCATTCAATCATTCAAACCTCAATCGAATATAATCAAATCATAGAATCAGTACTTGGGTTCATACAATCAAAGCCTAACATACAAATCTAGGGTTCTCCATACCCAGATGAATGGGAGAACTACTCCATGGAGAAATAAGCAAAAGCAGAATCAGACGCGGAATTCATACTGTGAAGGATGGATTCCTGCTCCTGGACGTTGATCGGCACTTCTCCGAGCTCAAACTGGCCTCCAATGGTGTTGAAGATCAAGCTAGGGCACTTGGAGACTCTTGTTCGTCGCTTTCTCTCTCTAGGAATCGCTCTATCTCTCTCAAAACTCCAATCCCCTTCTGTTTGGCTGAAAATCTGCTTAAAAGGGCATCAGTGGCCAAAGCACGGTCGAGGGCACGGCCGTGCTTTGCCTCAGCCCGCCCGTGCTTTGGCTAGGGTTAATTACACGGCCAGTGCGTTGGGGGAAACACGGGCGTGTTTGATGATGGACACGGCCGTGCTTGTGGTGGCCACGGCCGTGCTTTGTCTAAGCCCTGCCCATGTTTTTAGCGAATGTTTGCCAAACTCGAATTTGCTCTCGGCAGTAAAAGCACGGCCACAGAACACGACTGTGTTCTGTTTTAGGTGTGCCCGTGTTTTGGCTCCAGCTCGACGAAATGACTTCCGAATTCCCCGAAACTCGTGCTTAGCCTTTCCTTTGACGCATGGGACCTGAAATATGACAAAATAGCACAACCCGGCGTAAAATAGGCCAAAAATACACGACTATGCCCCTCAAACGGATAAGAACTAGGGGCGCAAATATGTTGAATTACATCGTTATCAGTCTCCCACTCTCATCTTTTAGCCTTCTTATGGTGTTTTTCCTCCTTCTTTCCGTAGCCCTCGCATGGAAAGCCTTGGTATTCTTCTCACCTTCCCGTAACCACTCCATCCTAGATCTTTGTTTCTACCTCTGCTCGTTTTTGTAAAGCAAATCCTGTAATTCAATTTCCAAATTTCTTTTCTTCATTCGCCAATCTGGATCCCTTCTTTGAGTCTTCAGCTCCTTAATCTTTTTTCGAACCTGGGCGATTCTCTTCGGGATTTCCCCAAACTTTTCCGAGCTCCAGCTAGTAAGCTTGGCCTCGCACTTCTTCAGGCTTTCTTCAACGCTCTCTACCCCAGCTTGCTCCCAGACTTCACTGATGATTGTATTGCTCTCCTCATCTTTTGCCCAAAAAGACTCGAATCTGAAGCTTTTTCCCCATCTGATGTCGATCTCTCTATCTCCCTCGACGTTGATAAGAATGGGAAGATGGTCCGAGACCACCCCATCCAGATGCAAAACGATTGCTTTCGGGTTTAAATCCATCCATTTCCTGTTTGCCACGGCCCGGTCCAGCCGTTCCTCAATCAAGGCCTGCACATCACTTCTGTTTTCCAAGGTATATGGGTATCTGATGAAGCCCAAATCAATAAGCCCACCATCTGCCAAGGCATTATTGAACCCAATCAACCTCTGTTCCGGGACCAGCCTTCCTCCCACCTTTTCAGCGTTTGAACTGATTTGGTTGAAATCTCCAGCACATAACCAGGCATCGTCGTTGACATTCCGTAAGCTCCTGATCAGGTTTCACAAAAGATGATGATTTTCCTTCTCAGGCCACCCATACACTCCTGTAAACCTCCACATTTTGTTTCCTTCTTCATCCCGGATTTCAGAATCAATATAACTCTTTGTTTTAGACATGATCTTAACCTTCACTTCTTTTTTCCAGAATATACACAGACCTCCCGATTGCCCGTCCACAGAGACTCCATCCATGAAATCCAATCCCAACTCAAATTTCACCGCCTCCCATTCTTTCTCCAACAGTTTAGTTTCCATAAAAAACACAACTTGGGGTTTATGAAACCGGATAATCGATTTCTGGGAAGCAACTGCCCGAGGATTCCCCAACCCCTGGCAGTTGAGGCTTAAGAGATTCATTGTGATAGGCGGCCTTGGAACTCGGCAGGGTCCGCCTCTGGTACTTTGGTGATATGGCCTTGCTTCCTTTGCTCATCTTTCCTTCCTTACCTTTGTTGTTCCTTTCTTCTTCCTCCATATCAATGTCCATATCATCCTCGTTTCTTCGTTTTTCCCCTGTAAACTTTTTTCCGCAACTTCCTTTCTGATTTTTCCCTTCTTTCTTTAGCCTGGTCCATGTTTTGATTCCTTCCTTCTTTCCACTTTCTTCTTTTGTTTTTTCCTTCTGGACCTCTGTATTACCTTCCTGCAATTCTGGTGGTTCTTTGGAGCCTAAAATGACCAGGCCCAAAAACTCTTGGTTCAGTGGTTCCACTTGTTTATCTTTTTCTTTGCGATTTCCTTTTCCTTCCTCGTCTGACGCACCTCCTGTAGATATGTTCCTGTTTCTTTCCTGCTTAGCTTCATTATTGTCATCAAGTTGTGCCTTTCTATTTGTCTCTTCGGCTCCCGAGCCTTCCACTTTTTGTTTCTCGGACCCCGCCATAATTAAATCAAAAAGGCTTCTGCTAGGGGTCCTAGGCTGGAGCTGAACCGTCAACTGGTTCGACCCTTGACTCACAGGAATCACGATATCTTTTTCACCGGAATTGTCGCCGTTGTCTTCGCCGGACTTTCTCTGCTTGGCTTCTGTCCATAGCGATGCTAGCTTCTCTGCTTATACCCTGTTTTTGGGTCTTGTCTTTTTCACTGGTGACGTGGCTCTCAGCCAATTTCCATACTGCATTTCTTCTTCTAGCACTATTTCTTCTTTGCAATTCTTCCTCAGATGTCCAAGAATGCCGCAGTTGTAACAAAAGTTGGGAAGTTTTTCATACACCACCTTGTACCATATATTCTCCTTCCCATTTGCAAGTAACACCCCTCTTCTCAGCGGCTTGGTAACATTGAACGAAACTCGCAGCCTCATATAGGTGCTCCACGGTTCTGAACCCTCTGCATCAAAGACTCTAAGGGACCCAAACATTGCTCCTATCTTCTCTGCCATTCTTCCTGTCCTCATTTTTGGAGGCAGCTTCCGTATTTGTACCCATATATCAGTCTCACTGAAGTCTGTCTCAGCTATTTCTTTATCTCTTTCCACCGGCTTCAGCACCATAAGTTGATTTTCGAAATGCCAAGGCCCTCCATACAAGGCCTTCTCTCGGTCTTCTTTGCAGAAAAATTAGAAGGCGTAAAGACGATCACCCACTGGTTGAATAAGAAAATCCTTGGTTGGTTTCCAGGCAACATTTAGAGCTGTCTTCATAAATTTTGTCCCTGGAGACCTCGTTCCTTGAAGTAGGCCTACTACTCCCAGATCTTCAATCATTTCTTCTACTCTAGTGTCGACATCATCTTCCTCAACTTTCACTATATTGGCTTCTTCCTCAGAGAGATGGAAGTTTGTTAACCTTTTTTCAAGATCTGAAGCCATAACGCATCAGACTGTAGACCAACACCAGGACTCAGGGGGGCGGAACAGTGGGGAGGGGAAAGAACGTATCACAGGGAAAACAAAGGGGAAAAACAAGCAGGGGGAAGACAAAAGGTCCCAAGAAACACTATGGTTGACTATACTCATAGAGGAGACAGAAAAAAAAGCTCTCAGAGCGACAGAGAAAGACAGCTCCCAAGAAACACTATGGTTGCCTCTCATTACAGCTGGGTGATGGATATGGCGGAATTTCCTAAAGGTTAGAGTCTTAGAGAGTGGTTTCACTATTGTATGGAAATAGGGGCATATGTTATTGTGACTTGGGAGGAGAGACATGTCTTGAAGTTCTCTAAGAAAAAAAGCGAAAAGGGTCGCTCAAAATTACCTCTCTGCCTCTATAGGATTTTTTTGTTGGTGTGAATTAACTTGAGCCACTAGATTGCATTAAAATGGACAGATGGAGATTGTGTTTTTTTTTTTGACAAAAGATAATCATACATTGATAAAAACCAATCGATAGTTACATCCTGGAAGTCAGCCAGGTCTGGAAATCAAAAATACGACACGTAGTCGGGAACAAAGAAAGGGCCTTTCTAGCTACAGAATGAGCTACCCTATTGCCATCCCTACCTACAAATCTAGATTGCATTAAAATGGACAGATGGAGATTGTGTTTTGCAGGTTTTTGCAATTATGAGTTTTGCACAATAACCGCTCCCATATAATATATATTGTTTGGTAGCCATCTTTTCATGAACCCTTGCAATTGTTTTAAATGGTGATAAATAATGGCTTAGATTCCAGTACATAACCCCTATCTGCAAAATCATGTAAAACCATTGATACACCATTGATTACACATGTTTTTACCCCTATTCTTGAGCCGTTTGAGATGTTAATTATCGTGTTTTAAGCCGATTTCACGCTAGGTTGTGCGTTTATGTCATATTTCAGGGCTTAGCATTGGCATCGAGGCGAAGAAACGAGTTTCGGGTCGAAAGGAGCACGTTTGGGGTGAAGTGTGCTGGAGGAGCAGAAATACCCGGCCATGAGCAGAAATACCCGGCCGGGTATTATTTGGAGATGACCGCGGATTTGACGCTTTGGGCGTCTTTGAGAAGAAGAAGGGGGCCCGGGCAGGAAGCAGAAATCCCCGGTCGGAGATTCTTGGCCATTACCGGGGATTCTCCCCTGACACCCGATGGTGCGTTTTGAACATACCCGGTCGCCACCCAAAATACCCGACCGGGTATTTAGGCCGGGGATCGCGACAGACAGCTTCTTAAGGGAAAAGAGGGCCAAAAGTGAAGGGTTCCGAGTTTTAGAGAGACAGAGCGATTCCTAGAGAGAGAAAGCAACGAACCAGAGTTCCCTAGTGCCCTATCTTGATCTTCATCACCATTGGAGCTCGACTCACACTTGGAGAAGTGCCGATTGACGACCAGGAGCAGAAACCCATCCTTCACAGCATGATTTATGCATCTGAGCTTGCTTTTGCTTCTCTCTCCATGGAGTAAATCCCTCATTCATCTGGGTATGGAGAACCCTAGATTTGTATGTTAGGTCTGATTGTATGAACCCAAGTACAGATTCTATGATTTGATTATATTTAATTGAGGTTTGTATTGTTGAATGGCATGAATCCTGATCAAATTCCTGTTATTTCTGCTTTGACCTAGAAAGAGAATATCTGCTTAGGTTGATAGAGAACCCTTAATTGAAGGTAGTGAATTGGCGACTTTAGTCGAGAAGCCAATTCACTATTCTGTACCGAAGTTACTTCGGTAGCGGAGGTTTTGTTCGTTAGAGCCTCAATCTGTTTACTCCGGTGGAGGTAAGTCGCCCGTTGGAGACTCAGATTGAGAGGGTCTGGAGACCTTTAGTCGAGACTTCAGGCTGTTTAAGAACCTCTCGCAATATAACTATCATTAAAACTAAAATTGGTAAATTACAATCCGGCTTAACTGCAGTCTAGGGGGAACCATATCCGGGTGACCTCTCTCGACTTGAAAACAACCGTTTAATTGCTTGCTTGTTTGCTTGTTTGAACCTGCACTAAAGTTTCACCGCTAAATAATAAGAATTCACTGAGTAGTCATCACATCTAGGACCCGGGTTGACATTAAAACCCAAACCCGCTATACTACGCTTTAGGAAGTGGTTACACTTGGCCATTTTCTAGAGTGACGGCAAGAGCAAGTCAAGTTTTTGGCGCCGTTTCCGGGGACAGCTAGGTTGTTGAAGAAACGTGAATTCTGTGAATTTAGCTTTTCGTTTTAGCATTGTTTGCTTTGTCACACTTGTGCCTTCATGGGTTTGCTTGCTTGACTGTGTGCAGGTAGTGCATGACCCGTAGCGAGTCGGGAGGTTTACTGCTGTTGGATCCGGAGCTTCAACGCACCTGTCTCCAACTCAGGAGACAACAAAGAGCTAGATTGGCTACGGAGGAGCGCATAGACGGCCACTTGAGCAGCGATTCTTAGGAAGAGTATGAGATGGAAGGCGAACACAACCCACACCAGGGGAATCCTCTCCATGTTCCCCCGGTGAACCAGATCTCGGGGAACAACCCCATACCCCAGGTAGATGGGGTTCATCATCATCCACCGTCGCCGGGTCCCACCTTGGAGTACTACTACACTCCACGGGTTGCTGATATCCGCCCTGTCATCCTCTACCCGCCCATTGCAGCAAAAATCTTCGAGATCAAGCCATGCTGGATTCAACTCATTACATCATCTGTCTAGTTTCACGGCTTGAAGGATGAGGAGGCAAGGGTGCACCTGTCTCGTTTCCTGCAGCCGACGAACGGGTTCAAGCTGAACGGTGTCCCTGATGATGCAATCCGCCTTCACCTCTTCCCCCATTCTCTAGCGGGGCATGCTAAGAGGTGGTTGGAGACCCAGCCCCCATTGTCGATCACTTCTTGGGACTATCTGGCCGACAAGTTCATACACAGGTACTATCCGGCATCAAAAACCACAAAGATCCAGCGGGAGATCACTCACTTCCGCCAAGAGCCAGATGAGACACTTCGTTATGCATGGGAGCGGTATATGGGATTTTTCTGGCAGTGTCCCCATCATGGCTTCAGTGATGCATTCATAGTGGCGAACTTCAACAGTGCTCTCTCTCCGGAAAGCCAGAGGGTGATTGAGTCTTTATGCCCAGGAGGGGATATTCTTACTAAGACTCCACCCGAACTGAACCAGATGATCAGTACATTGCCAGCCAGAGATCATTCTTGGGGGTAGAGCAGCAGAGGCAAGAATTCCTGGGACTGTGGTGTGCACGCCATAGAGGCCAGGTCCAGGCTCGAGCGGTAGGTGGCTGAGTTAGTGTAGACATTGAAGCAGCCCAACAGTATTATTCCGGGCAGAGGTCTGGGCGGACCTCCAGTAGCTCAATGTCAGTGGTGTGAGAGCTCAAATCATCTGGTGGAAGAATGCCAGGCTATGCGGGAATCTTCTACCCCCCAAGAGCAGCTGGACTTCATCGCCAATGCTCGGCGCCTTGACCTGTACAGCAACACATACAATGAGGGGTGGCGCCAGCATCCCAACTTCTCTTGGAATGGAAACACCACCAAACCACCTGGTTTCCCAGCACCAGCAGGTGGCTTTCAGCAGAGGCAGCCTTTCCAGGCCAGACAGGGGGCCGCCCCCACAGCAGCAGCCTTACCAGCCTAGGCACGTGCAGCCATTCCAGCAGCCCCAGGGTCAGTATGCCCAGCCTCCAGCAGCTGCAGCTCCAGATAATCAGATGATGGAGTTGAAAAATATTTTGCAGGCATTCATGACCACCAGCCAGGCAAATTTCACGAGGATGGATCAGAACATAGCCTCACTGTAGGCAGGCCAGAGAAACCAATGTGCCATTTTATAAGATCTATAGAATCAGATTGGTGGCGTAGCTCGCCAAAACAATACCAAGGCACCGGGAACTCTGCCTGCCACCACTACTCTGAACCCTCGTGAGCCTAACCAGCACCAGAAGCTGGATGCCATCACTACCAGGAGTGGCAAGACCACATCTGCTGCTCCTGCCCAGCCCAGGCAGGATGTGCCACTACCTGTTTCAACACTTCCAGCTGACAATGCAGAAGTGGGGGGGGGGGGGGGATTTGGAAGCACCTGCTACCGCGCCACAGTCAGTGGTTAAGGAGCATGTACCCCAGCTTCATTTCCCCACTCGCCTACATAAAGACAAGCTGGAGACTGAGTTTGCCAAGTTCATGGCAATGTTGAAGCAGGTCAACATCAGTATGCCGTTCGTGGAAGCACTGTCGAAGATGCCCAAGTATGCCAAGTTCATGAAAGACCTCCTCACCAACAAGAAGAAAATTGGGGATCTTTCGACGGTGATGATGAGCGAGGAGTGTTCTGCTATCCTGCAGAACAAGCTGCTCGAGAAGTGTAAAGACCCAGGGAGTTTCACTATCCCTCTTGTTATTGGCAGCATGCATGTAGGAAATTCCTTGGCGGACCTAGGCGCTAGCATAAATGTCATGCCCTACAAATTGTTTAAAAAGGTAGACCTAGGTGAACCAAGAGCTACTAGGATGAGCATTCAATTAGCTGATCGTTCCATCGTGCATCCTAGGGGTATCATTGAGGATCTGCTTGTTAATGTAGGTGCATTCACATATCCTGTTGACTTTGTAATTCTGGATATAAATGAGGATGTGGATGTACCTTTGATTTTGGGTAGACCGTTTCTCGCCACCGCCAAGGCGCTTATTGATGTGCATAGTGGTAAATTGATCCTGAGTGCTGGTGATGAACAGGCTACTTTTTCTCTGTCTGGGAATGGGAAACACT